CAGAGCCAGATCATTTGTATTCTCTCTCTGTCTCTGTCTCTCTATCTTTCAGTCTGTGTGTGTGTGTGTGTGTGTGTGTGTGTGTGTGTGTGTGTGTGTACTGGGGATTGATTGAACCTAGGCTTTTATACTGAGCAACATCCCCAGTCCTTTTTAAAATTTTTTTACTTTGAGACAGAATCTCGCTAAGATGCTAAGGCTGGGTGTGAACTTGAGATCTCCTGCTTCAGCCTCCCAGAGTGCTGGGATTTTGAGCCGGTTTTTACAGCTCTGTATTGAGGTACCACATGTCCACAGAGAAAGGAACAGATCAAAAGGGACTTTGCAGATGAGATTAGAGGATCTTACTGTGGAAGACGATCCTGGAGAGAACAGTGTAGTTGCAGCCTCATTGGAGGGAGGCAGGTGGGCCAGGTTCTGAGAATGGGGTGTGACAAAGCAGAGGTGGGAGAGGAGGGAGATTTGAATATGCCACGCTGCTGGCTGTGCAGATGGAAGGGAAGCCACAAGCTGAAGAATAGAGAAGGTGGAGAACATGAGATTGAAGCCTCTAGCAGTGACGCTGCCCTCCCAACACAAGCCACACCCACTTGCGACTTCCAGGTCTGTGAGAGGATAAGCTCGTGTTGTTTGTGTCACGGAGTTGGTGGTGGTTTGTTACAGCAGCAGTGGGAAATTGATACAGGACTGCTGTCACAGTGCTACTAAGAGCAGTCCAGACCAGTGGTGGCGAACCTGTGGCACGCGTGCTGCAGCAGGCTGTTTGTATCACTGGAAGCTCTAAAAGGTTCGCCATCACTGGTCTAGAACGTCTCAAGGCACAGTTGCACCTGGAAGAAACGTTGTCTAGATATTGTCACAGCTTCCCCGGGTGGTCGGACCAAGCTGCGCTCCTGAAGCAGCAGCAGCGTGAAGGTTCTGACTGCTTCCTTGCCTCACCACCACCTGGTGCTTCCTGGGAAGGGAGGTTTTAAAAGAACAAACAGGAGTTGGTGCTCATGGCACAGGTGTGCCTTGCGAGGTTCATGCTCAACAGATGCCGGTCGATGCCCATGCAGCCGGCTGAGAAAGGGCGAGGGTTTCAGGGGTGCCGGTGTCTAGCTGGGGGGCGTTAGAATTCCTCATCCGTGGAAGTGATGGGATGGGAAACCCTGAGGAATGTGGGGCTCCTACGGCGCTTTCTTTCTGAAGGGGTAAAGCAGGGTTTATCTCGTCTTTGTCATGTTCTGATTAACCGCAGCGAGTGGTGGGGAAAGCACAGGCTGTTCGGTCAGCCGCTCAGTGTCTGGAAACTACTCTTTTCTGAGTGACCGCTGGCAAATCACAGGTCCCGGAGCTCTGGTTTTGCCTTCTACAAAAGAGGTAGAACGCTGGCCGCCCTGTGGTGGGTGGGAGGCCTGAGTGTGCTGCCCATAAGCAGGAGTTGCAGCGTAGCTTGGGTGATACCTGCAAAGGTAAGAAGCGATGCTGGTGGTCAGAAGTCGGCATGCTGGGCGAGGCTCAGCGCGCAGGGGGCTGGGGGGTGAGGGCTCCACTCACTTGGTTGCTAACTGGGGTGACTGAGGTCAGAGGCAGGCTCGTAAGTGTTAAGGCCCCAATCCCTGAACCTGCAATTTCTTTAGAAGTTTTCTGCACGTTTGTTCATCCGTCCATCCATCCATCCATCCATCCGTCCGTCCATCCCCGTCTGTCCCTCCCTCCCTGACTGAGCTTTGCCATGTGCATTATGATGTAGCCGGTAGGAATAGACTCGCTGGTCAGATGCCCGCACAAGCCCCAGCTGTTACCGTGTGCGGTCTGTGTGGCCTTTGCCAGGTCCTAACTTCTTTATGCCCAGCCCCTTGATTCTTAGGAGGAGACAGTAACAGTATCTGCCTCCGAGGGCTGGATTAACCATTTTGTGAGGCAGTGCTGTGAATTCCTGGCCCTCAGAATCGCTCAGTGGTGGGGTACAGAGATGAGTGTGCCAATCCCTGCCCCTAGCTATAGGTTGAAGGGTCATGGTTTGTGGATGGCTGTCTGCAGAATACCTCCTCCAACACTGGAGTCAGACCTGAAACCCTGACCTGGCACCAGCCAGTGGCCCCTCCAGGGCAGGCTTTGTCCTCTGCTGGCTCCTCAGGGGGATGTGGTGGCTTTGAGGAGAGTCTTTTTTTTTGTCTTTTTGAGACAGGGTCTCGCCATGCAGTTCAAGCTGACCTTCAGCTCACTTTGTAGCCCAGGCTGGTCTTGAACTTGCAGCGATCCTCCTGCCTCAGCCTCCTGAGTGCTGGGATTACAGGTGTGCACCACCACACCTTTTTTTTTTTTTTTCCTGAGGAGAGTCTTGTTGTGGCACTATTTTGAGATGAGGCATGAGGTTGCCTGGGACACTGAGCTTCCACTGAGTTTTAGGCTGAAGGAGGGTAGATGCAGGGTTCACAGCTGCAGGCGTGACCCTCGATGGGCTGCTCCATTTCCCCCGCTGCCTTTTGCAGTAGCGTTGCAGTGATACCTCAGGCACTCTGCACTCAAGTCCCATGGCCCATTCTTCTGCCTTTCCAGGGTCCACGTCTTCACTCTCACCTTGTTCCAGGCCCCTCCACAGTACATGCGCCTCTGCTGATGAAGTTAGCTGTGATGGAAGCCAGAGCGGTAAGCCCCATTCAGGGAGCCAGAGGCTAAAAATAGCTCAGGATCTGATCTTTGCAAGTTAAAAGAGTAGCGTTGTAGGCAATAGCCTCGACTGTGCAGTGCCTTAGGGTAGGGTAACCCAGGTCTCCGGTCCACTCACTGGGACTTAGGAGCAGTGGTGTCTTCTGGGAGAACGCCAGACCCATGCTGGGGCAGACGGAGGAGGAGAGGCCAGATTATGGCCAAGCGTGCTTGTGATGCCCGGGGTCAAAAAGGGGTGCAGTGGTGATTTAGCAGACCAGGGGTGGTTAACATAACCCCAAACCTCTGTCTAGGAGGCATCAGGTTAGAGACCAGCATACTGTCCCTCAGTATGATCTGCATAGCCAGTTTTTCTAGAGTGGAACCAACAGCTGGTTCTTTGGTTGACATCAGATGGCTTATGGTTTGTGTTAGGGGCCATACCGTTGTTTAAAGAGACCTCCTCCCCTCCCCAGGCAGTGCTCAGGGAAGGGAAGAGTGGGAGGAGGGGTAGACACCCCCCCCCCGTGATGCTCTCTCTAGCGCTTCCTCTCTTTTGCTGTCTCTCTGTCTCTCAGCCTTTGTTCTCTGGAGCACACCAGCCTGCATCCTTAACTGTGGGCGCCAGGTATAGTTGGATGTTTTACCATTCCGAGTTATCAGTTTGTGATGCCACAGCCATGCTTGTAGATGTCCCCTGGTATTTTGTGCCACGTGCCCTGCTCTTGAGAATCTTTTTGTTTTTGTTTTTCTTCTGGTACCAGGAATTGAACTCATGACCTTGCACTTGCCAGGCAGGTGCTTTGCCACTGAGCTAAATCCCCAGCCCCTCTTGAGAATCTTCATGCTAGAAGATATTCCGTGCTTACTGGCATCTCCCCATTCCTTAAATACTGCCCAAGTATATTCTCTGCAACAGGCCCTCCGGCAGCTGTATGTAGTTTATTGAAATTGTGACCAAGGATAGTTTTGCATAATTTGTTTCTATGGCCATAGTATATTTCAAGCTCCAAATAACCAAATCTACCCTAAAAAGAGCCCTGGAGAGAATATTTAATCAGAGACCCAACTTGGATGAAGGTTAATGAGTTTTTAAAAACAGCCCAATGAAACGCTGATGTGAAGAACAAAGAAATGGATGTCTGAGTGGCAGGTTCAGGGTGAGAGGTGTGGTTGTGCTCTACACCCTCAATCCTGGGTCCGGGTCCCTTCTTCCTTATTGCTTTGTTGTTTCCAGGCGCTCTGGTGCATTGTTGTCCTCTGCAGGTTCCGAGCCAGGAGCTGGGCTGCAGCCAGTGGAAAGGGACGGAGCGTGCCCTTCTCTTAGGGTATAAATTGAGAAATGGCGCACATTACGTGTTCTCACTTCTGTTAGGAACTCAGGTGCTGAGCTATACCTACTTTATAAGGATGCCTGTGAAACGTAGTGCTTGAGAAAACTTGAATACAGGTTGAGTAGCCCTTATTCTAAGTGCTGAGTTACTCGATTTCTTCACATTTTGGGATATTTGCATATCCATGAGAGTCTTAGTTACTTTTCTCATTGGTGAGACAAAATACTTGATACCTAAAGTTAGAGGAGCAAAGGTTTTTTCTGGCTCGCAGGTTGTAGAGGTTTCAGTCCATTGTCAGCTGGCTCCAAGGCAGTGGCATGGCTGAGGGGCATCATAGAGGAGAGGCAGTTCGTGGCAAAGCAGGGCAGACAGAAGGTGGCAAACAGCAAGCAAGAGACAAGCAACGGTCCTCTTTCTGTCCTTCATATTCCATCCGGTACTCACACCTAGGGCGGGCACCCTTAATGCTACCCAGAGCTACGCTAAACCAATCAGTGGGCTAATTTAGTAACCACACACCCGTGATCCAGCATCACACACCTAATCCCAGCATCACACACCTAATCCCAGCATCACACACTCTAGATTCAGCCACCTCTGAAAAGCCACACCTATGACTGCATGAGGCTTTGGGGGGCATCTAGACACAAGCCATAACAATGAGTTATCTTCGAGATGGGACCCAAATCTATATAGAATTCGTCTATACCTTATACACATAGCCCAATATTGACTTCATACAATTATTTTTAATAATTTTGTGAATGAAAAAAAAACGTCATGGTGTGGAATTTTTGATCTGTGGCATCATGTTGGTGCTCAAGAAGTTTCAGATTTTGGAGGATTTTGAATTTTGGATTTTGGGATTTAAGATGCTTAACACAAGTTGTGACTATGGAAGAAGAGAATGGATTTGGGGTACTGGGTCGCCTTTGCCGTATTCTCTTTGTGCCTAATGCAGCTCTGCGTTTATAATATAATATATCCAGTTGTTGGTTATACATGTAAATGTTGGTTGTTTTGCTTTTTAAGAAAGAAAATCTGGACCTGCCACACTGAGTCCATGGACAGCTCCACCGTAATGAATCAGTGCGTCTACAGAGGAACGGAAGAAAACAAGGAAAGGTAAAGAAAAAAACAACAACTTTACAACTTAAAATTCTTCCATTTAACAATTAAATGCAATGCAGAAGGAACCACAGACAGTTTGGAAATTGCATGGAGTTGGGGATGAAGCCCAACAGTAGAGCACTTGCCTAGCACGTGCAAGGCCCTGGTTCAATCTCTAGCACCACAAAAATAAATAAATAGAAAGTAGACAAGATGAGAGACAGCAAAATTTCATGCATTTCCTTCCACATTTCCAGTTTCTTACAATAGACAGATGCCACTGTGAAACATGAAGACTTTGTTCTAGGACTTAGAATTAAGAGTTAGTATAAATAGAACTGATGTACTGGAGGTTTAAATATTTGATTCCAAAACTATGGTCATTGATTCCTAAAGCCCACGGCGTGTGCTCAGACCGCTGCCTACCTTTGTGAGCAGCCAGTGTTCTGAGCCGGGGCAGAGCCCAAGCACTTGCTTGGCAGCTGTAGATTCTGCTGGAGTCACAATTGCTTCCTCTTCTTTCTGCATTCATTCCTTCATTCATTTATGGGTCATACTGGGGACTGAACGCAGGACCTTCGTACTGAGCTACATTCCCAGCCCCCTTCCCCTTTTTTGAGACAGGGTCTCGCTATGTAGTTCAGGCTGGCCTTGAACTCACTATGTAGCTCAGGCTAGCCTCGAACTCAGAACAGTCTTCCTGCCTGAGCCTCACGAGTGCTAGGATTACAGGTGGCGCCACCATGCCTGCCCCTCCGAGGCCTTTTTTAATTTTTATTTTGAGACAGTCTTGCTAAGTTGCCCAGTCTGAGCTCTAACTTGCAGTCCTCCTGCCCCAGCCTTCCAGAGTGCTGGGATTACAGGTATGTGCCACCATGCCTGGGTCTGGGCTCCCTGCTTCTTGTCTTGCTTAAAAATAAAATTTTAAATTTAATTTAATTTTAGTATCCAAGAAATGCACGTGTACATTTTCCTTGTTAAAAATAAAAATGTTTACTGGGCGTGGTGGCGCACACCTGTAATCCCAGCACTCGGGAGGCTGAGGCAGGAGGATCGTTGTAAGTTTGAGGCCAGCCTGGGCTACAAAGTCAGTTCAGGGCCAGCCTGAACTGCATAGTGAGACCCTGTCTCAAAAAAAAAAAAAAAAAAAAAGGTTGTTCCAACTGATCCCCATTTTCAGTCCAAACCCACACCCTACTCCTACCTTTCCCTGAAGTAACCACTGTGATTTACATAGTGCAGAGACGTGGAGCATATAGTATGTATATTTCTTCTAGAACTTTCTCTGGGTATCTGGATATATGAAAAAAGTTCTTTTATTCTTTCCTTATTTAAAAGGAAATATCACACTATGCTTGTTCATCTGTTTTGTAGCCTTTTTGTAAACTCAGTGATGTGTCTTAAAATGTTTTCAAGACTGCATGTGTATCTACCTTGTTTTTGTACCGCAGCAAAGTGTAGTATATGCATGGTGTGAGATTCTCAGTGTGCCGGGCTGCCTCGCCGATGATGGGTGGGGTTGGTTCTGGGTTTCGCCCCCATACTAATGCTGTGGGGTGCTTTCTGCTACATTCCTCCTGGTACACAGGCAACGTGTTCTCTGAGGTGGTTGCCGAGGAGGACACTGGTCATCCCACACGTGCATTTAAGATCCTAATAAACTTGGCCAAATGGTTCTGTAGCAGCTGGGTGCCAGGTTCCCCGTTTGCCCACCCTCCTGCTGTGCCTTGGATCCACTCTTTAGTTCTGCCAGTCTGTTGGGTGGACGGTGGTATCTCTCCATGTTTATGATCCCCTCCCCTCTCGTCCCTCTGGGGCATCATCGTCTCAGGACTCTGTTGCCTGGTTTCATCTCCTGATGGTGCCTGTAAGCCTCTGCCTTCACGGGGACCATCGCCCTCTCCCGAGACACAGGGCCGCAGCGCACCTGGGCAGCCCTGGCTCTCACGGGAGTGGTTGTGGCATCAGCTTCTCTTCTGCAAAGTATCCGAGTGCTCTTCTGGAAAGTATCCAAGTAGACCACTCCGGGAGCATACATCACAGGGGCATCTGCTTTCCTTTGGACCCCCGAGGGATTCTGAACAGCCCAAGGCTGAATTTCCGGACTAGGAAGTTTTATCTGCCACCATCACTATCCCCGGCCGCAGGCTGAATATTTACCGGGTGTCAGCCTGTGTGCATCACTCGTCTTCCTGTCTCGATCTTCATAACAGCTCTAGAAGGTGGGAGGTGGTGGTGTGTCCATGTTGTGCCCTAGCTGACAGGCAGGGCTTCATTTAAAGCCAACCCAAGCAGCAAGAGGGAAAAGCGCAGCTTGGTCTCTCCATGGAGCCCCTGCGCCTACCCTGTGCTCCCCTCGGGTAACAAACAGATCCACACTCACCGTGGGGTGAGCTCTCTGGTCGATGCCGGCGGGAGTCGCCGTACCGTGTTTGCAGTTGCCTTGGACATGCTCAGCTGTTGCGTGCATCTGTCGTATCTCACAGGCGCTCTTGGGACTTGAAAGTGGTGGCTTTGTCCCTCTCTGGCATATGGACAGGGCTCTTGCACGGCACCAGCACCTCTGTTCTTTTTTTTTTTTTTGGTTTTGGTTTTGGTTTTTCTCCGGTACCGGGAACCAAACTCACAACCTTGCGCTTGCCAGGCAGGCGCTTTGCCGCTGAGCTAAATCCCCAGCCCCCAGCACCTCTGTTCTTGTGTGCAGTTGGGGCTGGCAGCCTTGCTCATGCTCACCCAAGTGTTTCTCTCCAAAGGGGTTTTCAAGGCTGAACTCTGGTCGTGGGGATTGCACACAGTTTGTTAGGCTAATACTCCGCTGAGCTGTGGATGGGAAGGAAGTGCCTCCTTGCCCTTGACAGGCTTAATTAGTCACCCTCCCTAATATGTTTAACTTTAGATCTCATTCTAGATCAAGAAATTGGGAATGTGGCTCAATGGTAGAGCTCTTGCCTACGGTGCCTGAGGCTTTGGGTCCCAGCCCAGCTTTGAAAAAAAAAAAAAAAAAGGAATTGTAGACTGAGTACAATTTCAAATGCCTTTCCCCCACTTACACGTTACAGAGGCACAGAAATTTGGATCTGGAAGAGATCTTAGACGCCTTGCTTTAACTGCTCATTGCACTTTTGAGCAGACAGGATGAGCGTGAGGAGGTCTCTAAGTGCAAGCCGCAGGAACAAGCCCTGGGCCTGGCCCTCGGGCTCTGCCTCTGGCTCCTTCTGCAGCAGCACAGCAACCTCTGGTGGGGTCTCTCGTGCTTCACAGCTAGAGCCGATCAGCTGGCAGGACCTTGAAGGAAACCAGCCCCTGAACCCATTAACCGATGATTCATTCGGCCGGCATTTGTGGAGTACTTCTGGGTGGACTAGTGACAGAAAGAGAGGCAAGATAGAATTCTTAAGGGATTCAGAGTCTGGTGAGACAGGCAGTTGCACGCTTCACAAGCAGGGGTTAAATGGAAAACCTGGAATCTCCGCTGGTCACGGGGATTATAATGATATATCTCCTGCAACAGGTTGTTGAGAAATGCTCCGAGTTAATCATTGTAAAGTACCTGGCATATAGCCAGCGCCCAGGAAAGGGAGCAGCTTTTATTCTTGTTTATTTTTAGCCCTATGTAGAGTGACGAACACAGGAAGACTTTTCCATTAGATCTATAGGCTTCTGTTTCAGGAGTGGTAATTGGAAAGCACATTTTCTGCACAGTGTGTGTTTGTGGTTGTAGTACTTCTTCTCTCAGCTCCTCATCCGAAAACCTCTTTTGTTCACCATTACTGCCAAGGGCGGGGCCTGTAGTGCTCGCTCACTGACACTTCCAGGCTGAGGCGTGTAGGGGTGGGGTGACAAGGAGTGGGCCCTGGGTCCTTGGGGCGAGGTGCTGGGACAGGGCCGACCACACAGCAGCATCACAGGTCTGCCTGAGATCAACCCCATTTCCCAGGGCAGGGGCTCCCCAGAAGAGTTCCCACAGACCGTGCCTCTCGGGGGTACAGTTTGTTCCTGAGAATTACTGACATTTTGTCATTTAACCAAGGGACTTTCCTGTGAGGAGACCTATTCCCACAGCATGGATGAGTGAGCAAGCCTGTGTTCGTACTGCACGGCTGGGTAGGACTTACCATTTAGGGACCCAAGAATCTAGGATTTTGGGAAGATAAAGCCCGGCGGGGAGTGAAGTTTTCTGCTGGCCAGAGTGGTTATGGGAGTCAGGGAGCTGGGCAAGCAGGATTTCTGATGTTCCCTCTGGTGCACAGAGGAGAACTTGGAGGAGAGAAGTCCTTGCCCGAGTACCTCCTTCTTATGGATGGCCCCGAGGGAAAACGGCCGGACCGCGAGGACTTTGGCCATGCTGGAGAAGTGGAAAGGTTTGAGCTCATTCGTTTGTTCACTCGCGCACTCCCCCGTCAGTCTGTACCTCCCTTCCCAGCAGGCCTCTGCTCTGAAGGGAAATGCTAAGGAAGGGACCAGGCTTTCCTGTCAGGGCCTTCAGCTCACAAGTTGTGTACATATGTGTCTCTTTCTCCGAAATAAAAAACTCCTCCGGCCCGCCTGACCTGGTAAGTCAGTCTTCAGTGTCCAACGGCAGTTGGCTCCAGGACCCCTGTGAATACCCAAATCCGAGGGTGTTCAAGTCCTTTATATGCAATGCAGTGATATTTGCATGTAGCCCACACATCCTCCTGTACGCGTTATGTCACCTTGGGTTACTTATAATACCTAATAAATGCTTTGGAAATGCTTACATTATTGTTTAAGGAATGACGAGAAAAATAGCCTGTACACGTTCAGTGCAGATGCGGTGTTGCGGGGGAATATTTTCCATCTGGCGCCGGTTGAGTCGGCAGATGAGCAGCCCACAGAGGCAGGGTGGGGGGCACTGCCTGTTTGGAGCAGCTGCTGGGTCCAGCCCTGCTAGCGTTTCCTCCCCTGAAGGGGAGCCCCGGGGGGTGCAGTGGTGCCTGACGCCTGGCCCAGGCTCTCGCACACGGTGGTCCTCAACCCTGTGCAGCTTTTGGGGG